CTTTGAAATTCTGTGATCCTCTGGATGGAAAGAAGGAAGATACAAAATCAGAATTGGCAGGAGCCACCATCCAAGCCACAGGTTCCCAAACTTATTTGGCCTACTGCCCCTATTAAAAAAAGATTACTCAGCCCCCCTAAATTACTGGTGCCCCCCTAAAAATCCACTTTCTTTAACCCTTTAATGTCTTTTTAAAATTTGTGTTATTTCAAAAAAATACTGACAGATCATGCCAGCACCCCTCACAGGGCAGTATCGCCCACTTTGGGAACCTATGAAAAATGCACCCATATTGTGGTGCAGAAAATGAGGTGTCGAGATTACAGGACTTGACCGAGGGGCTTCCAATAAAGAGAGGAAGTAGTGAGGTTAAGTTCAAACCCAGGGCCTCAGAATCCATTTCCTCTACTCTTTCCACTACATTAACCCTATAAACTTCTTTTCTTTCTTTTTTTTTTTTGGAGGCAATCTGGGTTAACTGAGTTGCCCGGGATAGTTGGTATCTGAGGCCACATTTGAACTCAGGTCCTTCTGACTCCAGGGCCAGTGTTCTATCCACTGTGTCATCTAGCTGCCCCAACCCTACAAACTTCTAATGACATGAGAAAGAATGAGTGAGAAGGAAACACCAGGGAGCTAGAAATCAAATGAGAAGTTCCAAACAAATATCTGCACCTTTCATGATGCATTATCTGAAACAGTATGAGGGGGCAACCAAGTTAAATGCTCAAGGTTGAATAATTTTCCCCATCAGCCTCTGGACAATGCCAAATACTGCATTCTCCACGTTAAACCCTTTATAAATGAGGGGCGCATAAATGTGTAACGATGCACCTTGGGAACTTGCCTCTTCAGACGCTCCTGGGCTGGTTCTCAAGACAAAGAGGGCTCCCAACTTGCAGAGACTTCCTCCTCGTGGTGAGCCCTGTGCTGTTTATACGGGCAATGAGAGGGCGCCAGAGCCCTAAGTCCGCTGTGTGTTACATCTGGCCTCTGGCTACTGCTCTCCCTGGCGAAGGCAAAACTGATTTACAGCTTGTTTGTACTAATAAAATATTACACCACTGACTCATATAAAAGGGAGATGAGAAAGTTCAAGGCGAAACGCTTTACCACCATCACCAACAAAAGGAAGCGTCTTTCGGAACTTCTTAATAAACTCTGGGGATGCAGGGCCGTGGACCAAAGGGGCTGATCGTACTGCTCCGCTCTTTACAGCTGGGCTTGAGAAATTTATTTGTGTTTCCATCCCCAGGCTCAGCCCTGAAAGCAAGTGGGACATAAAGGCAGGGAAGACCGCTTTTTTTTGCCTTTCTGCATCATTTAAGATGAAAATGGCACATCAGTCCAAGTGCTTGAATATCACAAGACTGGGAGAAGGTACGCAAAGACATTAAGATTGGAAAAATATACACCAAGAATTAAAGCAGGCGCCAAGAGGAAGAAAAAGGAAAAACATTCATGGAAAAGCTAAAGAGTAAGCTAAAATAAAAGCAATTACTGCAAATCGAGTCAGAAGAACTAGGGTTGAATTTAGGCTCCATCACCTGTTAGGTAGATGTGAGATGCTGGGAAGGTCATGTAACTTCTGAGCCTCAGTTTCCTCATCTGGAAATGGAAGAATGCCCTAACTACCACAACGAATTGTTGGAAGGATCAAATAATAAAACTGACTTAAGTAGCCAAAGATGTAGTCTGTTAACTACATAATTCTCATAATCTAGAGTGAAGTATTTACTGGTGCACTCAAGAAGAGGGGCCTGAGTATATGTTACTGAGGAAGGGGAAGAGAAAAGGGCTACATCACTGCAGCTATCAGAAAGCCTCCTCAAGCCCTTCCAGAGAGTAGCACCAAGACAGGAACAAATAATGCCCCATGTTGCGGCATCTTCAAATGCCAGTCTGAGGAATCCTGGAAAAATGGGGGTCACTCCCACACCTCGTGGAGCTTTCTAAAGGCTACAGAGGGCAGCTGAGCCTATACTGTGCCAACTCGAACTAGAAAGTACAACAAGGCCCACATCCTCTAGAGAAGTTGAGAAAGGCCCATGAATCCCACTTATTCCTGACTGCGCCAGAAAACACATGCAATGACTATAGATTATATTATCCACCTTAAATTTAATAGACCATCTGGGGGCTGTCACATTAAATGCTGCATTTCCACATTTTGTTTATCTCTGCTTAATAGTACTGACGAGCTGAGATTCTCACCCCTGGGTGCTGAATAAGTCACCTGTCAATTATTTGGCCATCTATAAAACTGAGAGACCAATTAATGGGTGTCCAGCTCAGACTCAAACTTCAGCATAATCTCCAAAGATCCGTGACTTCATCCACGTGGGGTCAGTGAGGGCAGTTTAGTAGAGGGTTTTTTTTTTTTAAAAGAGTTTCTGCGTCCAAGAACATCAATCACCCTGCTGCCAGTCTGGTGAGGAGGCTCTCAGATCTGGCTGCGTGTGCTCTCAGACAACACCCCCGGACTGTCACCAGGCCCTTATTTAAAGTCTATGTGGCCTGGCAGGCGCGGCCAGAGCCTCTGGCCCCCATTGGCACAGACTTCCAGAGCTCAGGATCCCCACCAGGCCGTGATAAGATACCAGAGGTCTTTGGGAGGACTCTTAAATAATACAGGAAATGTCCAAGGTGACTCTCTCTACTTTCCTTAAGACATAAACCCCAGCCCAGCCTAGAATGAAGCAGGCTTTTAAAGGTGCAGGATGAAAAATGTTCCTCACACACAATAGTCCATCCCCTACATCCACACCTCTGCTCTGGCCAGCCCCCAGGCCAGGAATGCAGCCCCTCCTGCCCTAACAGAATCCTCTCTTCCTTCAAGCACCACCTTCTGAAAGAAGTCTTCCCTGGTGCCCCCAACCTCCCAAGCTACCTTATGTTAATTTGTATTTATTCTCTTGATATTTGTCCTGATTGCACTTATATATGGTCTTCCGCTTCCCTCCCCACCCCTTAAGAGCACAGATTGGCCCATTCTTTGTCTTGGTATCTCTAGCACCTGCACAGTGCCTGGCACATAGTAGGTGCTTAATAAATGCCTGTTGATTGAGTCACCAATTAAATCACCCTTAATGAATGAATGCAGGCATGACCTCATTGCCTCGTTCATCAAGTGGATGAACCAAAGAGCTGGTGTTCATTCGGGCATTCCCTGCGCCACGTCAAAGAGACTGAAATTCCTCCTTAAAAATGGGCTCATCGAAGGACAGAGCTAAGATGGCAGAGTGCAGGGCTTGACCGAGCTCAACTCTCCCAACATTCCCCTCCAAACAACTTTGAAAGAACACCTCAAATCAAACTTTGGAGTGGCAGAGCCGACAAAAGGTCAGAGGGAAACGCTTTTCCAGCCTAAGGCAACTCAAGAGGTCTGCAGGAGAGGTCTGTGGCACCAGGGTGGGCGCAGGCCTGAAGCGAGGCAGGAACTCCAGCGGCAGACCTTGGAGGAGGCCGGGTCAGCAGCTTCATGAACCTGGGGAGCTCGCAGCCCAGAGACAATAAGGGGGTCCGACAACTGATCAGAAAGAGATTACAGGTGACCCTTTGCTGGCACCGGGTACGGCAGGCGCTGACTGGCAACTCTATTACCCACAAGCAGTTCTGGGTCACAGTTCCAGGGCCAAGAAGAACTTGTGCTACAGGGAAGCAGGAGCCCTTCCTGGGTGAAAACCAGAGTACAAATCAGGAGAGCAGTGACCACTCCTCTCCCTGGATTACGTCACTTCAGAAATACCCAAAATTTGCACAACTCCAGAACTAGCTCTGAAAACAGCAGCACAAGAAAGCCTGAAGCTTGGGATGGTCCATTGAGATGGCTCCTCTCTACTTCCAGCAGAGCCCAACTTTAACATAAAGTTCAAAGTCAAGAAATCAGTTACAAAAATAAGCAAACAACAACAAAAAAAAGTAGACCACAAAAAGTTACCACGGCAACAAGGAAGCAGAAACTCAGAAGACAACAATGTGAAAACAGCTATAAACGATGCCTCAAAGAAAAATGTTAACTGGACCCAAAGCCCACAAGAATTTCTGGAAGAGTTAAAGAGATAAGAATGGCAGAGGAAAAATTAGGAAAAGAAATGAGAGTAATGCAAGAAAATTATGAAAAACAATTAACAGCTTGGTAAAAGAGGCAAAAAAAAAAAAGCAGTGAAAATATCACCTTAAAAAACAGAACTGGTCTAATGGTAAAATAGGCACAAAAACTACCCCTTTGTTTCTCATTTTATGTTAATGAAGTCAGCTGGGGGGCAGGGAGTAGGGTGACGGGGTGCATATGCATGTGCATATGGATATGAGCGTGCACGTGGGGCACGTTTTTAAACAAGAAAGCCTCTTTTTCTCCCCCCACCAAGGCTCCATCTGGCCCTCTGGCTTTGCCTTGAGCGCCTCTTCCCATCTCCAGGCCTTCCCTCTGGCCTGGCATGAGTGTTCTCTCTCCTTACCTCCACCAGAAGATGTTTCCTGGTTCAGTCCACCCTCCTTCCCCAATGCTAGGGTCTTCCCTCTAAGACTGCCTTCCATCTATTCCATACATATGGAGAATGGACCTAGTAATTTACTCCCCCTTAGAGTGTGAGCTCTAGGAGAGCAGGGAGTAGTTTTGTCTTTACTGGAAACCTGAGAGTGAAGGGTAGTGCCAGGGACCCAGCAGCATTCATCCAATGCGTCCTCCCTGAATGACGGGCCTCAAAGGACGTGCCATGGACCCAGCAGCGTTCATCCGATGTGTCCTCCCTGAATGACGGGCCTCAAAGGACGTGACATGGACCCAGCAGCGTTCATCCAATGCGTCCTCCCTGAATGACGGGCCTCAAAGGAC